AGAGCTTACCTAGCGCCACACATACTCATGTCAATCATCAGCATTTTGGCATTTATACACCTAAGAGCTGAAATAGGTTTCAACCCCCACATTTGAGTATATATATATTATATTATATTACATTATATTATATTGTATAGAAATATATATTATATTTGTTTTAACTCATTTCCCTCCCCACTCAGTTTTTCTTTTGGTCCCACCTGATTTCTGAAAATGTCATCATGTGAGGGACAATCATTGATATAGTCTCTTCCCCTTTGCAAATGACCTCTTACCCAGCTTAATTAATAGCTTAACTTTTGGCAAGTGGTAACACACAACAGTTAAATCTGGTTTACTATTTTTATGTCTCTTGTGGGAGGAAGAACCCGATAACACTTTGTGTAACTGTCAGCAGTCCTTGCTTAGGGTGTGTTCCATAACCTGGAGCCTCACCTTCCTCTCACTTCCTGTCGGGCCAGGAGCTCCTCATAACAAATCGTCTCAGAGGAGATGTATTACTTGCCTTTGCTTCTAGTCAGCTGAAAATAATTTAGATTATCTCCAGTGTATTTTTTATTTTTTTCTTAGGTACTTTTGCCTTCTATTGTTATGACTAACCAAAAATAATTCAAATTTCTAAATATTCTAAAAATAATTTCTCCCTCTGTATTGTTACTACATCACTGAACTAAACCCTGGTCCATGGGCATTGAGGCAACTGCATTTCTCTTTACTCTTAAAACTGTTTTTCAGAATAAACTAAATCTACCAGACATATGTTGGACATGACTTTATTTAATACAAATGAAAGTTTCAGATCATCCAAGTTTGGTTTCTACTAACCTATTCATTTGATGGTCTGAACCATTTACATCTGATTTACTTGGTCTAAATAAGGGACATGCCTTCTGGAAGCAGGCTATATAGTGTTCTGGACTCCATAGCATCTATTTTCCTTCTTATTTTTATCCAAGTCACTTTGGAACTTAGCAGCAATTCCCTGTTCCCTCAAGACATGCTGTTCCTTTCTGTGGAGGTGGGCTTCACCTCCTGGCACCCTACTAGGGAAATGCTTTCTTGGGGCCATGGCTTCCCAAAGCAGCCCTTTCGTGTCTTCCTGCAGATGACCCCAACAGAGATTGTGGCACACTGCATAGCATTCCTCTCTGACATCCCCTAGGGATGTGCTCACTCACTGCATCATACAGCATTTCAATTCAGTGGTTGGGTGAACAATCAATAACCAACTGAGTGACTTTTCTAACTAGGACACAGATATGTGGTCAGGTAGGGAAGAGTCATCCTGAACAAGAAGTAGGTATTTACCTGGTATTGTCCAAATGGAAATACCATTGAACCGGAGACTCCGACTGGACTGCCTTTGTTCCCCTCTACTCCATGTTTCTTCCTTTTCTCTTTCTACGCTCAAATGTGTAGAAAAATGTTCATTCTGATGAACTTGCCTAAGTGATCTATCATTTCCTAAGTGGTCAACAAGAGAACACAGACCTAGAATCTGGCCATCTCTAGCATGAATTGCCATTATTTCTCCTAATGCTCCAGCTGCTCCAGTTTCTCCTGGCCCTTCAGATCCAGTTGCCGTTGTTCCTTCTGGCTCTTCAGTTCCAGCTACTGGCGCTTCCTCAGGTATTGGTGCTCTGGCTCTTGCTCACTTCCCGGCCTTCCAACTCAGACACACTGGGGGAAATTGACCACTGCTGCTGGATCTAGATCTGGCACGTCTTTTGATTGTTCTCAGAAATTAGCTCCACAAGGGGCTTAGTCTTCCAGCTTGGGGTCTTCTCTTTGGCTTTTGGTCTCTTATTCTACAAATCTAATTCTGCCATCTTAGCTTCTTTAATGAGTTTTCTAATTTTTTTTGGTTCTTAATTCAATTAATTTTGAGCATTTGTGAATTGCTTGGTAGTGTACCAACCACTGACATTTTTCTCTATGGCATTTTTACTAATTCATTCCATGTATTCTAATTGCCTTAAATTCTTGGGCTATAAAAACAAAGTAAGTATGATGCCAGCCTTCTGTGATCATGGAATAATGGAAGGAGAGGGACTTTAGAGACCATCTAGTCCGACTGCCTTATTTTATATTCAGGAAATCCAGTCCATGGAGGGTAAAATGACTTGCTTGAGTCACATAGTTTGTGGGTAGCAAAGCCAGAAGACATAGAACCTTGGTCTCTTGATTTCACATCCAGTGTTTTGACTCTTTTGGGTGAGGGGTTAATTCTGCAGATACCACTGTGGATACTTGCAAGCTTTCAAGTGAGGAGTAAAGTGCCGAGTTCCTTAAGTGATCCTTGTCAAGGAGCAATAGAGTCACAGAGCCACTGGGACTCAGAGAGCCACCTGATCATCAGTCTGTCTTGAGTTTTGCTTTTAAATAAATGATTGGAACAAATCCAGTATCCTAAAGAACATGCACTAGAAAAGAGGTTCTCAAGTTCTAGTATAATAGTCAATAACTTGGGATGCTTATAATAAAAGTAGAAAGACTCAGGCCCTCCTTGCCTAGACCAGCAACCAGAATCCTGCAAGGTAGGGCCTGAGATGTGTGATTTCAAAGTTTTCCAGGTGATTCTGGTGTGCTTTCTGGGAAAGAACCACTGCTGTGGAGTCTAGCAGTGTTTCTTAAAAGGGGGGCACCTGTTTAAAAGATGTATTTCTGGGCTTCCTCCCTAGACCTACTATCCTAGAATTTCTGGGGATGGGGTCCATGTTTGAGCTCCCTAGTGATTGTTATGCCCGTTAAAATATAGAAAACCACTGATCTAGAAGGCTTTGAGTCATTGAACAAAAAGTCCTAGAGCAATGGCTTTCATGTTCCTTGCTAAGAAATATATTTTACACCATGATTCATCAAACCTAGATAACTAAAACAAAAAAGTCAATACTTCTCTTACTGAGTTCAGTGAACTCTGATATTTTCCACTCCATCCTGTTTCATTTTGTAAAAGTAGGTAATCGAAACTCACTAGAATGATTTTAAACCCCTAGCCCAATGTCGTTTGAAAAACTGAGACTTGAGATGTGCTTGTTAAGTCTACCTATCACAGATTTAAAACTTTTCTCTCAAATTCTGCTACTTTTCCCAATTACTCTTGTTAAGCCATTAGCACCTGCTGGGGTTGCTTGCCTGTGATGAAGGTCCACTTTTGTCACAGTCATACAATACTGCCACTGTGTAAAAAGTGGACTGCCCTTGCTCCCTGGACATGGGAGATCTTGCCAGCTCCATGCTGCTGCTGCTAATGGCTTGTATCAATCACATTGCAAGTAATAGAAAACTCAACCCCAACTAAACGAAGGGGGAAAAAAAGGAATTCTTTTGCCCATGGAACCGGCGATCCAAGAGCAGCTTAGTTCAGATGCTGTTTGATACCAGACTTAGACGATATCACCTGGATCCCTCACAAGTCAGTCTTTTCTAGGATGGCTCCAGATGTAGCCAATTCAGTTGTCTCTTCCTGAGGGCGGCAGGGCCCAGCCACGCACTGCCAAGCTGAGCTGAGAAGAGGGCTCTTGCGGACTGAGCACAAATCTCAGTTGGGCTGATTAGACCACATGCTCTCTCCTGAGCCTGTTCCTGGGATCAGGACGGTGGGCTGGCAGTGGACTCGAATCTCAGGCAAACCACATGGCTGAGGATGAGGAAGGGATGATTTCCTGAAGAGCAGTTGAAGTACTGCTCCCAGAGGCAGGAGGAATGGGTACTGGGCGGCAAATGCAAATGTCGTCTATCGGCCATATATCTCCTTGGTCTTCTTTGTCCTCCTGTTTCTTTGGTTGTGATGAGCCTTTTTTTTGCTGCTTTTCACACCTGTGGAAACCAGTATAGTGTCCTGAAGTCCCCGATTTAAATCTCATGTGAAGCAGTCATTGTCAAAATCAAGCACAGATAGCCCTCAAGGGAAATGACAGTGTAAGTAATTAGAAAGAATTGATTAAAACTCGCTACAGGAAAAATAACTGGTTTTTAAATGAAGAGAAAGGAATAGTATAGTTCAGGGTGAACCAAACTAGACAGTAACTGCCAGCATTCACATGCGTAATGGGCAAGTGTGTATAATCTTCCCTGGTGCCCTTTAAATAGACTGTGGGCCTGAGTCTTTTCAGGAGGCATCTGAGCACGGTCAGTGCCTAAAAATATCGAATGACCGCTAACAGATGAAAAGTTATGAAAGTTAAGTACAAAACTTAAATCTGACAAATAAAGCTCAGCTGATCCCATTGGTTACCTTCGTAATTGCTTTATGTACGATTTAGTGCCTTCTCTTTTCTCAAGCCTTCTGTCATGAAGCAGAACAGAAGTACTTGCTACTACGGGGTCAGAAAGTGGACAATAGTTATTTAGTAAAGATAACGCTGATCTGCTAAAATGGAAATTTTTTTACAATCCAGCATGGAGAAAGAATGGTGACCTTTAAATAACTCTTTTAACTATTCTGGGTTCTAGCCTATTTTGAAAGAGTTTAATGTAAATAAGCATTTCATACATGAGAGACTGAATCTTATTTTTTTCCCTCATAATAGTATCAGATTCTCTACTTTGTCGCAAATTGCTCGTAAGTTTTCTAAGATACACGCTTTATACACGGTACGGGGATCCTGGGCTGTGCGTTCTGCACCAGCAACTAGCCTGCCTAGCGTTTAGATTTTCTCTGCACTCATGTATGCTTAGAAAATCCATATCCAAAACATTTTTTCATCATTTTCTCCTATAAAAAGGATACAAAATAAACGTCCTAAGGTTTGTATTGTTCTCCTAACTTGGTCTGTAATTTTGCATAAACGCTTTAAATTCTCCCCATAAATTTATTCTCTTCTAACAATATGCCCATTCATTTCTAATTTTCTAATTTCTGTCTTTTGAAAACTATAGCATTTTAATTGCTTATGGAAACTAATCGGTCTCCTATCCTTGACAGTGATTTCATTAAGATTTGATTTTTTTTTAAATGAAGTTTTTCATATATATTATTATATTTTGGTCTGTAGTGTGGCTTGATCTAAGAACCCAGTCTACCGTTGAGAATCTTAGTAAAAGAATTCCAGGAAATAATAACTTTGTCAAGGTAAGAGATCTCTTCAAAAGTATACTATAATGCTTGTTTAAAAAAAAAAGTTTAGAGATTTCTCCAGAAAGATTATTTGGGCCTTACATCTTATTGCACAATAGTTATTTGATGCAATTTATAGATTATTTCTCTGCAGATAACTGAGGCTGCCTCAAGTCTTTACCTTCCTGTCTTTCTTGCCCTGTGCTGGATTGGAGCAATAATACCCCAAGGTTGAAGGCTGGAGGGGATTATAACCTGACAAACGGCTTACGTGGCTTAAACCATACTTCCCAGGGAGTGCTTCCTGTAATTCAACCCTGCTTTTCAAATCCATCCCTCTTACTTTCTACTATCCATCAAACAAAGTTCTGGGTGCTTTTGAGTTTTTAGACTTCTGGATTCAGGGAAAACAGAAGACATTCCAACCCTTTATTGAGCTCCTTTTCTGCTTTCTTCATATGAAGAAAGCTAATAAAAATTGCCTAATCGTCGGCCCTTATATAGATCTCTCTTCAGACAAATGAAGGGAGAGAGAATTTTTGAAACAAGCAAGGTGTGTTTTTCTTAGCAAGGTCAAGGACAGGTTCTCCTGGTATCCAAAAGGAAGTTCTGGTTTTTGGTTTATCCCCTTAATGTTTGTCCGTGGGACTCTTATGGCATTTTATTGTGGTCTTCGTTCTGAAGCTAGTGTTCAAATCCCATTAATTGTAGCAGTTTAACAAACCCTTCCCTGCCCTCACTCACCCAAATAACTTCAGGCTAGTCCTGAATATACCCTTATCCATTTCCTATTCTGTTCTCTTTGTTACCCTGCTCAACCCTCACCCCCACCTCCAGCTGCACTTTGCTTCAAGGGATGCATGTTTTCCTCTGCAGTGCCATTTTAGGCAATTTTTACACTTTCTACCAAAGTTATGAAAATGACATATTATGTACTACCTCACTATTGGCTTTGTGGGATGACCCTTGTTCCTTCAAATCAAGGAAGAATATTCCTATATAAATTATTTCCTTTCATTATTTTTGAGCATTGATCTTTTTTTTCTAGGAAAGCTAAAAACCATGAGTTAAGATTCTTAACTTACAGGTTGCCTTAAAGTATTAAATCCTTTGGTTTGAGTTTTCTTACTAAACATATCCAGAGGAAATAAGAAGGAAAAAGGTTATCACTTTCTGTCGTTAGGTGATAAATGAGGAGGATAGAGATTGGGAAGGGGAAAGATAGTTGCATTATTTTGATGTATGTATTTTCTTAACCACTTTCATCAGCCCTTATAAATAAATTTGGTATTTAATATACTAATAAAAATAAGAGCTAGACCTGATCCATTCTCAAGGAAGATTGATAAGCCCATATATGTTTCATTTTTACCCTTTAACCTTTATTCAATCCACCCTCCCTTTGTTCAATGTATTTGCTGAATTTAGGCAACTGCTTTCTTACGTAGAGCAACTCTGTGTTGCTTTAATCTGGCGTGTCTTTGAGCTCTACTTTATTCTCCACTAATTTTATATTATGTTATTTTAATATGTATGTGTGTGTATAAATATATATATTTATTTATAATACGTATTTTTATACACATAAATATATTGTTGTTAAGTCATATGTTTTAAAACATAAAAATTTCTGGTTCTGGTTATTAGTTTATGATTTGATGTACTCTCTGATTTTCAATAGTTTAAATATCACTTTCATGGAATATAAAATAAAATGCAGAGTTTTGGACTAGATTCTGTATATAATACTAAGTCATCTCAAAAGTTAACATCTCTGTCTTCACTATCTAGATTACAGGCTGTTGAGTCATTTATTTTTCTCTTTACCTTGCTACGTGGATGTTCTTTGAACTGCAAACATATCACTCTGATCTTTGTTCATGAACATGCTTTCCTGTGCCATGAGATAGGAAAAGTATTTTTGTCCATAATACTGTGGGATTGCCTTTAGGGCCATTTAATATTTTGTGACTTGTTGAGTTTTTTGGTTTGGTGTTTTGTTTTATTTTAAACTGTCATGAATTTAATTTGCTGGCTGAATTTCACGACTGTTTTTAGTCCAAGACAGGCCTTCCACTTAGCACTTACTTCAGTGCAGTGAAACTTCGTTGGCTCCTTGACAATGTGAGAAAAGTTCAAAAGGCTGTTGAAGAAGATAGAGCTCTTTTTGGGACTATTGATTCATGGCTTATTTGGGTATGTTTAAATATAATGTGTGTACGGAGAAATTTTTTTCAGAAATTTTTTAGACTACCTTGCCTGCTATCTGTTTTCTACTAAGAGTTCAAACTTTTTAGTTGGCAGCATTGTTAAGAAAAGCCACTCAAGAAACAGCAGAACATTTCAGCCTCCATTTGAGAGGCATTTTTGCCTGCTTCCTCTTTATTTTTTCTTGCCTTACTTCAGTAAAAATGGAGGATGATTACCAAAACCATATCTCATATCTATTATCTTTAGAATAAGTAATTTAGATAATCAGTAATTAGTAATTTAGATAGCCTTTCTCTCTTGCCTACCATATACTTCTCTTCCATTAGCCATTTCTTAGAAGAAATAACTATTTAACATGAGAAAACACCTAGGCTATTTATATCATTCGCTTTCAACATTACACCACTGTCTCTTATTTAATTAAGCCATAATATGAAAAATCATAGTGGAAATATCTGATATATAATCTTTTTGCCTAAGCTGAACAATAGATGAGTAGAAACTAACATTTCAAACATTTCCCAGATATATCTTAAAAGTACAAGTTCTCTCTCTCTCTCTTTTGTTCTCTGTTATTTTTATTATTGGCATTTTCAAATATACCCAAAAGTGAGGGAATAGTATAATGAACCTCTGCAACAGTGAGCCAGCTACAGCAATCAACTATGGCCAATCTTGTTTCAACTGTACTCACATACTCTTTCTCCCCACAGATAATTTTAAAGCAAATCCCAGACATATAATTTCATTTGTAAATACTTCAGTAAGTATGTGATTATCTTTTTCAACATTCAAGAGAGCTTCAGGGGAATATTGTCCCTATTCTCACTTGCCAGATCCACACAGCAGATCTTCCAGAACCGCTATCAGGAAGCAGCGCCTTCTCCATCCCTCCCTGTGCTTGGCCAGGGCCGGCTGTGCTTTGTGCTCATGGCCAGCAGTTTTCACACATGTTAGTCACAGTTGAAATAGTTCTGACAATAGTGCTGACAATTGCCTGGAACCAGAGTAAGGCAGGATGTGGGAGCTGAGCTGCAGGAGACTCGAGGGAACACGTTTGTCTGTACCCCCAACGTGATGCCATTTCTCCATTTTTGTTCCTTTCTTACCTCTTATTGCTTCCACATAAAAGAAAGCAGCACTGCTTCCAGTTCAGGTCCGAGGGTATTAACATTAGCGAGTTTAAAACTCTGCTTTCAAGATGTGCACTTGGGTGAGCACAGGCGCAACCCGATGAATTGTTATTCCAAAAAAAACGAAACAATAGCAACAGAGGGTTCAGTCAGATCCTAAAGACGCAGACATTTCAGTGTATTTCACTTTGCCAAATTTAATAAGACTCTGCATTTTCCAAAGATAAGAGGATGAAAACAAAACTGGTTTTTTGTTTAACCATCAGTTAACTAGAACTGTGCTGTTTAATATGGTAGCCACTTAGCCACATATGACTATTGAGCACTTGAAATGTGCTAGTCTGAATCAAGATGTGCTGTAAGTATAAAACACACACCATATTTCAAAGTTACTACAAAAAAAGGTGAAATATCTCGGTAATAATTTTTTATATTGAAAGGATATTTTGGATATATTGGGTTAAATAAAGTCTATAGTATTATTAAAATTAATTTCACTGCTTCTTTATACTTTTTAAACGTAGGTACTAGAAAAATTTAAATTACATACATAGCTCACATTATAATTCTATTGGACACTGCTGAAAACTAGAAAATTAAATAATTGAAATGTTCTGCTCTCCTGCTTTATGTGCTCTACTACTGATTATGGCCCTTAAGAAAATGTAAAGTAAATTGCAAATAAGTACAAATTTAACGTGTCTGTTTTATTCTGTCTAGAGTTTGACAGGAGGAGCCAATGGAGGTGTCCATTGTACGGATGTGACAAATGCAAGTAGGACGATGCTTTTCAACATTCATTCTTTGGAATGGGATAAAGAGCTCTGCGAGTGAGTTGGGTTTTGCCCTCTAAGAATAGTTTCCAAATATGTTACCTATTTATAACCTAAATCTTACTATTTTTAGATGTCAGTGGAGCACCAAACTTTAATTGTTGATATTTCAACTACAATATGCAAGTCTATGTTGTGTGTTCTTTTAAGAGAGACTATTGTTGCATGTATAATGAACAGGCCAAATTAAGTAATTGTCTTGATTATTCTTCAAGGAAGATTAGGTTCCTTTAGAAAAGTACTTTGGTTTCTCTGTGCTTTTTATTTTTTATTGATTTGTTTGTATAAAGTTGGAATGTTAAATATCCAAGCATACAGCTATGTTCTGCTGGCTTCTTTCTTTGTTACTATTTAACTCTATACTCAAATACATCCATTTCTAATTTGTTATTTACATTTTTTGCCTTTAAATACATGTAAATGTTTCAAGATGTTTATTTAAAATAGTGTTCTATACCCAATCTTATCTTATTGTTTTTCAGATTTTTTGAAATTCCAATAAAAATTCTTCCAAATGTCCGGAGTTCTTCTGAGATCTATGGCCTAATGGTAAAAAAAAATTTTTTTTCATTTAAAAAACAAAAGCTTTATTCTTCAGAATTCAAAAGTCAATTGTGTTATGTTTTATAGTTTGGGAGTTGTGACTTTTCTGTGAATGTTGGTAGTATGTAAAATAAGAATTTAGTGTTGTTTAAATAGTTTTATAACTTAAAAATCTTAGAGCCCTTCTTACCAATTGATTTTATATTTCGTAAACTTTAATTGGCTTTTCTATGCATATTATTACTTTTAAAGTATTAATGGGATAATCTAACTACAGAGGATAGCATGGGAATGTTTGAGCCAGTTTATTCTTTTTATCCAAATAACTGTTTAGCAGTTGTGATGTCTGTTTTAGTTTATAGGAGGGACTCTTCACATTTTAGTGGTGGTCTTTTTCCTGTTGGACGTCTTGATGGCCAGACCATGTCTTTTTATTAGATTCTATGTCAGCCTGAGCAAAACTTTAGCAAAGAAACTGAAAGCAAAGAGTGTATTTCTGATTTGTGATTGCTAATTAAACTGGTTTCCACAATGGACATTTTTACTGTTGGTTTCGTTGAAACCCAAATAAAAAGTAGTTTCAGCAAAAAATGTGCTTAGCATCACTGAGTATCTTGGATTATGCATCAGGAATGAAAACCTCTAGGAGGATTTGAACTGGTGTTTGAGCACAAAAAATCTGGAATTTATGATAAAACTTAAGAATACATCTAAGATAGATTACAAAAAGTATTGTTTAGACATTTCATGACAAATATTAGAAACTACTTATAGAATTAATAATAATGAAGTTGAATAAGTGCTCTGGATAAAGCTTGAGCACGAATTCTCAAATGTTTCATTTATAATAAAGCCTTTTAAGACAACATGGAATTTTTTAAGGGAAGCATAGTAATAAAAGCACTTCGATGATTCCATAGCTGTCCACAAACTGACTTGGGTCAGAGAAAAAACTATTCTTAAGAAATACTTTCAGGGCCGGCCCCGTGGCTTGGCGGTTAAGTGTGCGCGCTCTGCTGCTGGAGGCCCGGGTTCGGATCCCGGGCGCGCACCAGCGCACCGCTTCTCTGGCCATGCTGAGGCCGCGTCCCACATACAGCAACTAGAAGGATATGCAACTATGACATACAACTATCTGCTGGGGCTTTGAGGCAAAGAAAAGGAGGAGGATTGGCAATAGCTGTTAGCTCAGAGCTGGTCTTCCTCAGCAAAAAAAGAGGAGGATTAGCATGGATGTTAGCTCAGGGCTGATCTTCCTCAAAAAAAAAAAAAAAAGAAATACTTTCAGAGGATGGTTGAAAAAACATTTAACTGGCCTAGTTTTCTCTTACATTTAAAATATTGTGCTTCTGTCCCCCTTTTTCCCCCTTGCTGACTATAGAAAATCTCTCATAGCCTGGTGAGTAGGTTGCCCACCAATTATGCTACTCATTCATTTGGAAAAGATACAGTGCATTTCCATTTAGTTTTAGACAAGCAGAAGTCCATTTACTAAACAGATTTACCTGGAATCTCCATGACCGTCCAAATTGTTATAAGCTCTAATCAAGCTTTAGGGTTTTTTAAGACTTAATCTTATTTGTGTGTTTTTAAGTTTTCCCTAAGACTGAGAGTGATGTTTCAAACTAAAAGACTAAAGTAGTTTTATGGAATGAGGAATTCTGATGTTCCCCATTACAAAGTACAGTTGTGATGCGCTTTGGGCTTAAGCATAATATGGAAATTAGATATACCTTTTAAATGTTCTAAACGTCTATCTTAAATGATATCTTGACCAACTTTTCAGCCCAGTTAGTTGGAAATGCACTGTTACTTTTTCTGCATGCTTCACCGGAGGATGTTCCAGGAATCCTCCAGAGACCCCTCGCTGTGAAGAAAAAGGAGCGCTTTATGTGCCTGAACGCACATGGTAGATCCTGCTGGTAGTTTGATAATAACTTCAATAGTATAAGCAAAGACTTCTTTTCATCTTTAAATCTATGAAGATATACAGCCTCTAGGTTTCCTACCAATTCACTTTCAGCCCTTTATGAAATTTACCCTTCACTTATTATCCAGGTTCAGATTTTCTAAGAATATATATAGTAAATAAAAATAGAAGGTCTTGAATTAACCAGAAAGCATGAAAGAAATAAAATAATACCCGCTATCTAGGGAGTGTTTTCTATTTTGTAAAGGGTTTCGACATATATGCTATAATTTCCTTATCGTCATAGCCGTGTGAGGTGCCTTCTATTCTTACCCTCACTGTAACAGATAGGAAACCTGAAGCTCCCAGAGGCCGGGAAACTGGCTCGCAAGTGGCAGACTGAGGGATCCGTCCAAAGCTTGTGTTTGGTGCTCTTCGTAGTACATCAGGGATCACATTCTTTTCCCCTAATTCCTTAATACAAGTACAAATTGCTGTGTATTAGTGTATGTTTTTTAAAAAATTAAGTTTGGCAAAGTACACAGTCAGCCACTTAAATCTTGTTTTTCTTCCTAGAATGCTGGTCATACTTGATCAAAATAAAAACCACTATTCATGACATAATTAACTCCTGCTTATCTAAACTCGAAGAATGATGTTGGCTATGAACAAATAGTACCCAATACCTGAACATTCTTGTGTTTCTTACTTACCTTAAGAGCAGTTTGGGTTGGAAGAATAGTTGGCAAAACACAGCCTTCTAAAATAAATATGTTCCATGCTGTTTTGATAGCTATTTATTTGTTTGTTTTAAAGAATATGTTAGGGCCGGCTCCGTGGCTTAGCGGTTAAGTGCGCGCGCTCTGATGCTGGCGGCCCGGGTTCGGATCCCGGGCACGCCCCAAGGCACCACTTCTCCGTCCAACGCGAGGCCGAGTCCCACGTACAGCAACTAGAAGGATGTGAACCTATGACATACAACTGTCTACTGGGGCTTTGGGGGGAAAAAAATGAATAAATAAAATCTTTAAAAAAAAATAAAAATAAAAAAATAAAAAAATAAATAAAGAATATGTTAGTCTGTTCTTAGTAATGGCAATAATAGCAAAGAGCTAATGGACTTCAGCATTCATGTAGCCCAGGCCCCGTTTTGTAAGATAAATAAATTGAGGCGTAGAGAAGTTTCAGCAGCCTGCTCGGTGGCTTAACACTAACTAACCAGGACCACATCTCCTGACTCCCAGTCCAATGTTTCATGTCCATTCTCCAATGCCATGGCTCTTCTTGTCATTCTAGGAATACTTCTAGCATCTGTCTCTGAACCACTCATGTAGTTAAAACACTTGCTCTGTCTTGTCTGCCCACGTGCTCTGGCATGTTGCTGTTCATGTTCATTCCTGTTGCAGTTATGTTAGTAGAGCCAACAGTTTGTGATTATTCATAATTATTTTTTAAAATTTTATTAGAAAGCTGGGGCCTTGGAAGGTGTGCCAATATCTGGGGTAAGTTTCATCACCAAATATCTCCCTGCTACCTCCTCATCCCCACCCCCTTCCATGTTATGGCTTTCCTCCTATATCTTAATCAATCTGCCCCTTCCTAAACTATAGAAAACAAGTAAGAGCAGCAAAATTGGCCAATTCTTGCTCTTATGTGACACAGTGTGGGCCATCGAGAATCTTTTTAATAAATTAATTCTAACTCTCCCTTCCCATACCTATTATCTCATAGGGGTATTAACAAATGGGAAAATGGCCAAATGGAGGCAATGCAAAAAAACAGAAGACAATTCATTCCTTGATAAATAAAAAAGGAAAAATAAATCCTATGGCTTTTCTAAAAAGGAAATTAATAATATTGTCTTTGTCACTGTTCTTTATTGTCATTTATACTTTTAGTGTTTGGGGGACCAGTCTGCTGCATTGGTGGGACAAATGTGCTTCCAGGATGGACAAGCCAAAAACACGTGAGTTTAAGAAACAGTGGTGTTTGGTTTGTTTATTTTTCCCTTTGTTGCTTTGAATGAGGAAAAGCTTTTAAAGTTCATCCAAGCTGAAAATCAATAGCTTAAGAGTTCCAATACGGGTATATAAATTTTTTGCCATTTGTTTTTCTTCATCTCCTTCAAATAAAATACATTATGCATATGTAAACACACAGATAAGGCTTATGAAGACCTTAATTTATAAAATTCAAGGGGCCGGCCCCGTGGCATAGCGCTTAAGTGCAAACACTCCGCTGCTGGCGGCCTGGGTTCAGATCCTGGGCGCGCACCGATGCATCACTTGTCAGGCCGTGCTGTGGCGGCGTCCCACATAAAGTGGAGGAAGATCGGCACAGATGTTAGCTCAGGGCTGATCTTCCTCACAAAAAAAAAAATTCAATACTTTTTCCATCCAGAAACTAAATTTTGGTTTAACATATTCACGCCTTTTTTGGGGAGGTTGGTGGAGAGTGGAGGAGGGCCAAGCAGAGGTGAGGAAGAGCCATTATTTAAAACACAACTTTCAACATATTGTTCCTGCCCTAGACTTTCTCACTGTAACTGTAAAGTCATATTTTTGTGGGATTTTCAGTGTTATTTTTCTGGCACTGTGCTTTCTCCCCATTGTCTGGAGTTTCTCCTTTGACAAGAAGCAGAAGGAATGATGAAAGTCGAGATTTGGTGCATTTTCACCTAATCTCGTCTTCTTACTACTCATACATGCAGAGTCTGTCTGTAACAAGCCCCATATCTAAGAGTGGTAATGTTACTCCCACTTTAGGATGAGAAAACAGATGCTCAGAAAGGTTCAGGTAGTAAGTAAGAGAAGCAGTCTTTGCACCCAGATCCATCTGATTTGACTTAGCTGGGGCTCTTAATCTCTGTACTTTACTGTCCCCTGTGTGGTAAATAAAGATTTCCAAAAACCCAACAGGAGACTATCTACATTTAATTGTTCCTTTCTTGAGGATTTCTTAATTTTCTCATCAATTTTAACTTCGGTGGCTAAGTTCTTCTTTTGTGACTAAGGGACTGTCTAACGTTTTCAATGAATGTTCTTGTAGTCTAGTAGGGTCAGCAGTTGTCATGCAAGCGTGTGACATTATTTATGTGAGAGTTTTTTTGGGGGGGAGGGGAGATATGAAAATTCTTTGCAGCTCATGGTATCCTGAGGTTACAATCAAGAGAGCTTGAGTCAGCATGAGTCTGGAAACATATGCCTTGAATTCTGAGTTCCAGGCAGCTGAATCAGGAGTTAAGAGAAATGATAGAAAAGTAGGCTATTTCCTCCCTTCTTTCCTCCTCTGCCAGGCACACTAATGCTAGTAAATCAGATGCTATCTCTATTTGTCAAGTACCTAACACAGTATAGAGCACATGGGAGGTACCCAATAAAATTGCCTCCTCTTTCGACTCCCCTCCCCCTTGAGCATTATCAGCCAAATCCTAAAATGATGAATTTAAGTTAGGGAGGGCTTGTTGAGTACCTCTGCCGCCACTGCAGGTTGGAGGAGGGAAATAGCAAATTGTAAAATCTTTGGGCTCATATTTCTCTTCTTCAGGCAAAGGAACACAAACATACGGTTAATCATATTATAAATCAGAACTTATGTGCCATAAGGAACTTTGAAGTACTGCTGTTGGATTTCAAAGGGAGGGGAGGAAAAAAATTACAAAAGATTATGTTAGTAATGAGATATTTTGAAGAATGAGTGATATTGGCGAGTACACGGAACACTGAACAAAGATGCAAATAGGGAAATGGAAGACTTTGTTTAGAGACTGTAGAGAACATTTGGGTAGGAAAGTGGGAGAAAATAAGGCTAGGATAATGTTGTGAAGCCCTAAATTTGAGACTGAGGATTTTTTTCTTGATAGGCAGTGGGACACTTCAGAAGGTTTGTGAGCTGGTGTTCAGAGATGATTGGAGCTGTCCATTAATAATATGGTAGTCCTGGGTCAATGTGAGGAGTGACTAGAGGCAAAGAGGCCATGGAGGAGGCTACTACATCATCCCAGTAACAAGAACAAGAACTGAGAAGGATGGGGACAGAGAGGGAGGCTATAGGTGGATGTCCATAGCACCGCAGAGACACAAGAGACAGGAAATAGGTATAGAGTCTAGTCACCTGGGCCCAGTGATCAGGCTTAGCCAAAGTAGAACAGGCCCAGTTTGAAGAATTTCTGTTTGGGACATGTTTGTGGTACTGGTAGGCTATATATTGCACACATTTGGAAATGTGGAGTGAGTTCAGTATAAAAGTAGAGATTTTGAATTTCTCCTATTCAGAGGTGATTTTTGAAGCAATAGGAATAAATAAAATTACCAAGAAGGAGATATTTAGGAGAAGTATAAGACACAGGGATGAAGAGTTCAGAAAAACAGAATGCAGTTATTCATTCTTGTGGAAATCCAGGGTAGAGATATTTAAGAGGGAGGCTTGGTCAACAGCGCAAAATACTACAAAAAGGTCGTGGAGGCTGAGAATGAGAACACACCATTGTACATAAAAATTAGGTCTTCAGCGGTGGTCTCCAAGAATGAAGCTTTAGTAGAAAGAATACTCAAGATGAAAGCCAGGTTGCAAATGGTCAAAAAAGATGTAGGTAGGTAGAAAATAGAGACAGCAGGACAGAATGTGCTTTGCAAAAGTGCAGCCATCCGGGAATGGTGAGCAAAATAGGTAGTTCGTTAGGTTAACAAGATCACGCCAAGTTTGGGGAATTTTGTTTGTTTGTGTTTTTAAGTTATGGCAAGGCCAGAGAATGTTTCTTTGGAGTCTGAGCAGGCAACAGATGGAAATTATAAAATAAGTGGGAGATAAGTGATGGGCAGAATGAAGTCCTAAGAGGTTAGAGAGATTGGGATTGAGAATTTAGGTAATCTCTCCAAATCTCAGCAGGGAGAAAATGACAGCTCAGAACTCAGTGGAAAGCCCATCTCTGTTTTGGGGTAGAGGAAAAGACTATGGGTGATTCTAATTTTTTATTTAGTTTATTTGTATTTTCTAATTTTTTCAGAATGAACATGGATTATTTGAACATTAAATTTTGCTTTTAAGAAAGAGAACCCAAGAGCCAGCCCTGATGGCCTAGTGGTTAAAGTTTGGTGCACTCTGCTTCAGCGGCCTGGGTTCGGTTCCCGGGTGCAGAACTACACCACTCATCTGTCAGTAGCCATGCTGTGGTGGTGACTCACACAGAAGAACTAGAAGGACTTACAACTAGAATATACAACTATGTACTGGGGCTTTGGGGAGGAACAAAAAGGGCCAGCCCCTGTGGCTTAGTGGTTAAGTTCAGTGCACTCCGCTTAGGCAGCCCAGGTTCGGTTCCTGGGTGTGGACCTACACCACTTGTCTGTCAGTGGCCATGCTGTGGCAGTGGCTCACATACAAAAAGGGGAAGATTGGCAGCAGATGTTAGCTCAGGGCGAATCTTTCCCAGCAAAAAAAAAGGAGGAGGGGCTGGCCCGGTAGCAGAGCTGTTAAGTTCGCCCTTCCGCTTCGGCGTCCTGGGGTTCGCTGGTTCGGATCCTGGATGTGGACCTGCTTACTGCTCATCAAGCCATGCTGAGGCAGTGTCCCACATAGAGGAACTAGAAGGACCTGCTATTAGAATATACAACTATGTACTGGGGCTTTGGGGAGAAAAAAGAAAAAGAGGAAGATTGGCAACAGATGTTAGCTCAGGGCCAATCTTCCTCAAAAAAAAAGGAAAGAGAACCTGGGATAGATGCCTCCTCTCCCCAGAGGCACTGACTAAATGTAATAAAGGAGGCCTTTTACCTCCTTCACAGCTTCAGCCAGGGCCGCTCACCCTCTCCCTGTGCACCATCTTGGACACACTTCTCCATGACAGATAACAAGCAACCTTTACCTTCACAGAGGTTAGATAAAAGTCAGGCATCTTTCTGGGATGTTTGAACATAGTACAGTCTTGAGGAAGGATAGGTATACCATGTAATGCTGAAAGCTCCATATATGTTTGATAACTGGGAAGAAAAAATAATAAAATTTAAGAGGAAAATCATTGCCTGTGTACTGCTTTGAAAGCTGTGGCCTAAATGTAGCAAGGGAGTCTCTTCATACATTGATAATGCTCATTAATTACTTATTAAGTATACTAACTTAAGAATTCGGTTTTATTAAGCGCCTTGAGCCTTTGCATCAATTTTGTACTTTAAGACTTGCACACTACTGTTCTGTATACACAGTGTTTTGATGGGGGCTAAATTGGTACAGATTTCTCCTTCAAAAAACATGAGACATAATTAACTTCCATTTTGGGGGGCCGGCCCCGTGGCTTAGCGGTTAAGTGTGCGCGCTCCGCTACTGGCGGCCCGGGTTTGGATCCCGGGCGCACACCCACGCACCGCTTGCCTGGCCATGCTGAGGCAGCGTCCCACATACAGCAGCTAGAAGGATGTGCAACTATGACATACAACTATCTACTGGGGCTTTGGGGAGAAAAGGGGAAAAAAAGGAGGAGGATTGGCAATAGATGTTAGCTCAGGGCCGGTCTTCCTCAACAAAAGGAGGAGGATTGGCATGGATGTTAGTTAGCTCAGGGCTGATCTTCCTCACACACACACGCACAAAAAGACTTCCATTTTTGTGAATATTTATTAAAGGAGATTAACTTATAATAAAGCTTTTTCAGCATCACAGAAGTAAAAAGGTGTAGTGATTTATATGTTTTAATTCATAAACGTATTATTATCTGTGCCTAGTGTTATTTGACTGGTGTCTTTAAAAACTTAGATACAGTAGTCCTCCTTATCCACAGTTTCGCTTTCCACAATTTCGGTTACCCACTGTCAACCGCAGTCTGAAAATATTAATGGAAAATTCCAGAAATAAACAATTCATAAGTTTTAAATTGTGTGCTGTTCTAAGTAGTGTGATGAAGTCTCCCGCCATCCCACTCAGTTCCACCCAGGATGTGAGTCATCCCTTTGTTCAGCGTATCCACGCTGTATATACGCTACCTGCCCGTTGGTCACTTAGTAGCAGTCTTGGTTATCAGATCGACTATGATGGTATTGCAGTGCTTGTGTTCAAGTAACCCTTATTTTACTTAATAATGGCCCCAGAGCATAAGAGTAGTGATGCTGGCAGTTTGGATATTCTCTTACTGTGCCTAATTTATAAATTAAACTTTATCATAGGTATGTATGTATAGGAAAAAAGACAGTATATATGGAGTTTGGTGCTATCTGCGATTTCAGGCATCCACTGGGGGTCTTGGAGCATATCTCCCTCAGATAAGGGGGGACTACTGTATTCATTAATCCATGCTCCATGAATGCATTAGCTGTTCATCATGCAGGCCAAGAATATATTTGGGTAAGAAAGGATAGAAAGTTTTGGGCTAATTCTTATTCACAATAGCGGTGCCTAGAAAAATGTTTATCAGAAGAAATTGCCCTCGGTTTCTGTTTGCTCCACAAGACAAACGCAGCTGATGTCACAGAGCACAGCAGCAAGGCCTGTGGGGAGGGAATCCCAAGCTCGGGCAGGACAGCGTGTGGAGAGCCAAGGGTGACAGTTGCAGCCAACTCAGTTGAAAACTGTTTCACTTTGACCCTTACTGGTATCAGTTTGGGCTGTTTATCTGCCTGGCACAGGTCAAAACTACTTACTCATGTCCAAATGCCAGACTTGTTGCAAAGTCTGAAGCTTATACTGATAAGGCTGCCACAAAATAAATTCAGTTCTTCCCTGGCAGCTGTGTACATTCTGGCTCTGACTCTCTCACCGCTGTTAGAATGCCCTATCCTGCAGGGAGAATGGGAAAGCTAGGCCTTAAATAGCCTTCCCCTCTATGCCACCCCTGTCTTCATGGTCCAGCTACATTTTCCCACACTCTGGACCTAGCTTCCTCTCTGTGCCAGAAGATAGTGGTGTTTCTCAGTTTACGACTGACTGATGATAGAGCTAAGCTGGCCAGCCGCGTTGGTGAACGGCTTAGTCACAATGCTTCACTCCACGTGGATTAGTAGCAGCGTTAACTGTGACCGAACGTAGAATTTGTTGTAATTCAGTGACATTTTATAAACACAGCCCTGGGCTACGACTGACTAAACACTAAATACCATACCTGCATTTTTCCATTAAGATTGCACTAAGTACATTTTCTTCTAGACTTATCTTTAAAACATTATTTCAAAAAGAATATGTGATGTCTGTTAGCTTTTGGAACTTTTCTAGAACTTGAATGACTTTTATTATACGAAGTAAAATGTCAGTTTATTTGTATTATTAATGTTTCATCATTTACTTTTAATAAAATTGTTATACTGTTCATTCTTCCCCCAACTATAGGTATGGAACAGGCTGTTTCTTACTATGTAATACAGGCCGTAAGGTTGGTTTTTTCAAATTAAAAGATTGATGAAAGTGTTCTTTAACTTCACATAAATAATGCTTGAGCATAATTTGCTATTAAGTTACTTTTGAGTCTGCAGCTTTTATTTAATCTTTATCAGGGTTAAATTTAGAGCTCAGTAAAAATGAGGAAAATCACTAAATTTGAATGGTTCTAGTAAGAACCATTTTAGGTTCTTTGAATTTTATATTTGTGTTTTTAATTGTGTTGCTGGGAAATCTACACTAGGACCTTGTCAGATTCTTAATGCAAATCTAACTTGGAACAAGGGGTAAACTTTTTGTTCTGTTTAAGTGTATTGTTCTTAATACTGGTAATTTTGACTGTTAAGATTAATTTTTTAAATTGGTATATTTATTGAATTATTTTGTACCTAGGTCATTTTAGCTTTAAAAAATATTCTTATGCTATCTTTTTATTTTCCTGACTACTGAAATCTTTTTCTCCTGCCTACAGTGTGTATTTTCTGAACATGGCCTTCTGACCACAGTGGCTTATAAACTCGGCAGAGACAAACCAGTATATTATGCATTGGAAGTAAGTTCTTTTCAATTAATTTGGATAATATGATGAACACTCAAAGCTGATGAAAATCACAGTGTTTTCTAACACCTTTTCTGATAAATCTTAATATACAAGACTCAAAACACTCAGTTTTCTTCTTGGCATTCAGTTAAGTAGAAGGAACCTGGGACTGAGCTGGGGTCAGGACTCCCAGGAGACCTTGATTATTTTATATTGGCTCCTCAGTTCTTTTACCAATTAATTGTGTGACGTTGGGCGTGTTACCTAACCGCTTTACAATGTAAGATTTTTTGTCTCTGAAGTTTAATGAAGGCATTGACTTGTTCTCTAACGTTTCTTTCAGCGTTTCATTATAACCACAATGCCTCAGTGTTCCAAAGAGAACCCCTGGGCACAAAAACGCAGAGCAACTCTCTTCACGTGTATCCTCATAAAAATAAATTTTGTGTCACATTTTGATGGAGGAAAGAAAGTGAGGAGATTTATGCCATTTTTCACTGGAAGCATTTGTTTCAAACATGTTTGTAAATTCTAGTAGGAATATGTCAGCCTAAGTCTATAGGGCATGGTAAGTTTGCATTAGAACCTTTATTTATAAAGTCAAAGAAGCAGTACTCTTTTTGTAAAATCAGATACATTTCTTAAAAGCATTTCTTTACAATTTGCTTTAAATGGCTCCCTTGCAATGTACTAACATACAAGTGATCTGGAAACTTATTGAGGCTTGTTTCCTGGAGTACCTGATAATAATTTGGCCACAAGTGTTAGACTTCTGTTTATAGTTAAAACATTTTGTTAGTTATGCCTTAAGCATGAGGAATTTGAGTTTATTTCAGTTTTTTCTTGCCCCCTCTCTGTATAAGCACTGGAATCTCTCCCCCAGCCCCTTTTCTATGGATAATAGAAGCATTTGTGAAACAGTTGGTCTGTGTATTAAAGGTATCCTAATACTTCTCAGAACTTAAACTCCTACAAGCCCTCTCCCTCTCTGTTTCCCCCTATAGAAAGTGCTTAGTGTAGCACTAGGCACACCAAATATGCACTTGATAAGTATTACCTATGGCAATAATAGTAAGCTGCTCTCTTTTTTCCTTATACGGGGGACAATCAGTGGTTTAGAATTATAGATGCCTTAGACCTGGAAAAGGTCTGAGAGATAAGAGTTACCTGGTCTTAACTTCCCTCCCAATATGAAAAGCCTTCTCTTCTATCCTTCACCGATAGCCTTCCAACTTCTGTTGGAAGATAGCACAGAAACTGCTTCTTAATAACACCTCTACCATCAAACCTAGGTTGGCTGTCAAGAGAATTCAAATACTAGGAGGCACCCCTCAGTTTTTCTGGGTCTTCCTACTCCAGGATAAACTTCCCCAGTGCCCTGATGTCACATGTTTTCTGGATACTTTATAGTTCTGGGCTCCCTTCATTAGATGCATTCCAATTTGTCAGTGTCTTCCAGAATGGAATAGAATATTCTATATGTAATCTGACCTGTACTCACTAGTGTCATTTATTTCTCTCTGACCATAAACACTACTTCTGCTACTCTAGCCTGAGAGTTCATTAATTTAGTCTAATAACCCCATCATATCATTGGCTCCGGGAGCATATGTTAAAATATCTAGCTCTTTTTATGAATCATTGTCAAGCCGAGTCCATTCCATCTGTATTTGCACAGAAGATCTTTTGTTAATCTAAATTCAGGTCTTCATTTCTTCCTGTTAAATTGCATGACGGTGATTTCAGCCTATTCTGACACACACTGAATTCTTTTTCACTCTTCACTCTGTCACTTTTCTAGTTTTGTCTCATCTGGAGACTTAACAAACATATGCTTTTGATTTTGTTTTGATTCGTGTAATTTTTTTTAGATTTATAGAATTATAAAGCTGAGAAAGTAGCTTAGATGACAACAGGCTTCGCTACCCGTACCATCCCCTTGTTTTACACACGAGGAATCTGAGAGTAGACAAGTGAAATTGTAGTCACTTGGCCAAGGTAACTTTTGACAGCTAGTAAGTAGCCAATCCAGGATGCAAATCCAAGTTATTGGACATCAAAGTCTGCATGCCTAGGCCACCCCACTGTGTTGTCTCCTTCCTTGTAAATCTCGATATTCAGGGCTCCGGTCTCCAGAGTCCAGTGTTCTTTTCACTGCATCTTGCATATGTCACTTCCTTTGTCTACTAACCTAGCAACTCAGCCACAACACACACACACACACACACACACACGCACACTCACACACTAATATGTTTACAAGAGTAAATAGGATTTTTTCCCTTTTTTTTCTTTTCCATGTATTCTAATTTTTTTTCCAACAAACATTTTTTAAAAATTAAACCAAATCTACAAAAGAGGGTGGGGAATAAGGCTAGATTGGTAAACCTTTTTCTCAGTAAAGTCATGCTAATTCCACTTAGTCACACTGCTTCCTTTTTTTTTTTTGCAAATGCTTATAAAGCATGTATTTAATACTCATTTCTTTAGTTAGACAGATTGTTGTTAGGCTTGGCAATCTGGAGTATTAAAAATTTACTTTCTACCCTTTTTAAAAACTGAAACTATAGCTACCCATCTTAGTTTTTAGTGTTCTTTCTCCCTCTGCTGATTTGGAAGCAATGTAATGCATTTCTAATTTTTTTGTTGTTGTTTCAAGTTTTTACCCTCTCTCGGGGGTGGGTATAAAATCTTAGATTAACGGTTGTTTTTCCTGCATCCCTTCTGGCCATTTTTAATACTGTTGAGACTTCTGCTGCTCTGATCTAAATGTGATTCCTTTGTAGATAATCTGGTTTATTGTCTGGGAGTTTTTAATGTTATCTCCTTATCATTGATGTTCTGCTGTTTTACTGTTATGTGCTTGGGTTGGGATTTATTTTTACTTATCCTGTTAGGTACTTGGATACAAGTCTGTCTTCAGTTCTGGAAAATTCTCAGCAATTATCTCTTCAAATACTGCTTCTCTACCATTACCTCCATCCTCTTCTGGAATTACTATTGAATAGATATTGGAAGCTTTCAACTCATCTTCCATGTCTCTTAACTTCCCTTTTATATTTTTTCAATCTCTTTGTTTCTCTGTGCTGCATCCCTGGTGAGTTTCTCAGTATCCACCTTACATTCTCTCTTTAAAACAAACAAAACAAAACAAACATTTTTTTATTGTGAAATATAAGACACGTACAGATGCATAAAATATCAATTTACAGCTTGACAAATTATTATAAAGACAGGACTCATGTAACCTCACCCAGGTCAGGAAACAGAACACTGCCAATACCAAGGAACCCCCTCTGTGCCCTCCCAATCATAGCCTCCTCCCTCTGCCCTAAGGTAACCACTGCCCTGACTTTTATTATAATCACTTCCTTACTTTTCTTTATAGTTCTAACACTTAAATATGCAACCCTAAACACCAGAGTTTAGCTTTGCATGTTTTAATACTTTATATATTAAAAATATAAAAGAGAGAGAGAGACTGAACCATACAGTATGTATTCTTTGATCTGGGTTCTTTCACTCAACGTTGTATTTGTGAGATTCATCCTTGTTGTTAGATATAGCTATTGTTTCATTCTTTTTCGTTACCATATGAAAATCCACCAGCAGTGTATGGGAACAGTAATTTACTCATCTTCTCTGTCTATTCTACAGGTTATCCCACCTATTACATTTCTTAATTTCGCTCAGTAATTTCATTTCTAGGAGTTTTAATTGGTTGTTTTTCATATCCACCTGATTTTGTTTTATTTCTATTTTCTTTTGATTCATAATTTTATGGGGTTTTTTTAATGGAAATCATGCCTCAATTTATCTCTTTGAATACTTTTAGTACATACTTATTTTAAAGTCTTTGTTAGGCTAAAGTGAATTCTATTCCAGCTGTTAAACTTTGTTGTCTGATGTCTTAATAATAGATTTCTTCATGTATTTTGAAAGTTTTACTTCCAGTCTCATCTTCCATTAAGCCGTAGCCTTAGTCACCAATTAGACAGCTGCTTGTTTTCCAGCATCCCTGCACAAGCGGGAGAGCGCCACCTAGCCCCCAACTTCAAGCACTGAAGCTGATTCTATTCCTTGTCTTACACAAAACGTTTTGGATGCCATTCCTCTGGAGGAGCCAGTTCCTGGCCACCACTCCTGCTCCCTGATACATACAGAAAAATCAATTCGAACCTGTCATGCTTGTGGCTTCAAGTCCTCTCTGTCATGCATTTATGTTTCTGTCCACATCAACATTGTTCTCTATTTCAGTCACCATGTATTGTTTTGATTTTCTCTTTTCACATTTTGCCTGTTATCCTCTGTGTTTAGAACAGAAGGGATTTTTCAAGTGCAAACTCATCATTTCTATTGATGTGGACATCTACCTCTTTTTCATCACCCAGAGAATTCTTTTGTTCTCTCCCTACACCCTGGCATGTGATTCATCTAGGCCTGACATTTTGACATCTCTAGGTTCCTATTTTCATTATCAGTAAAAAGGCATTGGAGCACATGATCCTTTAGTTGTTCTAAGACTTTAAACTCATTTAAACTGCTTAAATTTGTCCCTCTCTTTCTAGTTGGAAAATTTTTCTTAGTGAGGGAAGAGACTGAAGCAAAATAGAGCAGTCGAGGAGTTCTGCCTTCCCTCTGCCATCTGTCAGTAGTGCACTATCTTCCCGAGGCTGTGCTTCTCCCTTCGCTTGTTCATCTTCTTTATCTAAATATTATTTCACAAGACAAAATCCTTTTGGGGGTTTTTAATATGGTTATGAACTTGAGCTTACTTAGGATTTGAGACTTCCGTGTTCTGTATTCTGTCATAGATGTAAGTTCCCTGAGGCCAGGGTACTTGTATGTCTAGTTCACCACTCTCTCCCAGCAGGCTGGCATGTGGTAGACACTCAGTAAACATTGGTTACATACCAAATCCTACGTTATGCCATTTTTTTCTATTTAAATATGAGCTTCAAAGAGGGTTCCCTATATCCCCCCATTGGTTTCTTTAAACGTGCCTTCTCCCATCTCTTCTTTGGTATGATTTATGATTATAGTGTTAAGGTTTTCTTTAGAGTTTTTCATCCCTCTTGAACCAGATATTCCATTTTAGGTATAAGCCTATATATTAGTGAACTATTGCTGTATAACAATATTACCACAAATGTAAGTGGCTTAAAACCACACCCATTTGTTATCTCAGTTTCCATGGGTCAGGAGTCCAGGAACAGCTTAGCTGGGTCCTCTGTTCAGGGTGTTGCAAGGCTGCAGTCAAGGTGTTGGCTGAGGCTGCAGTCTCATCTGAGGCTCCATCTGCTTGCAGGCTTGCTTAGCTTATTGGCTGAATTCAGTTCCTTGCAGTTGTAGGACTGAGGGCTTCAGTTTCTTGCTGGCTGTCAGCCAGAGGCTGCCCTCAGCTCCTAGAGGCCACCTGTAGTTGCTTCCCATGTTAGGACTCCTAGCATGGCCCTCTGCTTCCTCAAAGCCAGAAAGGGAGGGAGAGAGTCCAGAAAACAGGTGTGAGAATCTGATAACAATGTAATCATGTTAACATCATCACGTACATCCCGTCACCTTTGACATGTACTGTTGGTTAGAAGCAAGTCATAGGCGCCACCACGTTCAAGGGGAGAGGATCATGCAAGGGCGTGAATGCCAGGAGGCGGGGAGCATGGGGGCCTTAATTAAGAATCCCTCTGCCGCGGCCTATAAACATCGTTTATGGACTTTTGTAATGTCCTTTCTTGGAAAGTATACTTTCTGAGCAATAAATGGTTTTAATTTTAGTTCCCTAACTTGTTACTGAAGTGTTAATGATATAGATTACATTTCAAAAATAATGCTCTGTGTTTCAAAAAAAACACTCTGTGTTCCTTTTCTCTTTTCTATGCAATTAAAAAAGCTATAGAGTTAGATTTTGCATTTGTAATCTTATACAAATTAAGTACGGTATAAGTATATATGTAGAGGGGCCGGCCCCCTGGCTTAGCGGTTAAGTGCACGTGCTCCACTACTGGTGGCCCGGGTTCAGATCCCAGGCGTGCACCGAGGCACCGCTTCTCTGGCCAT